TCCCTGTCCCCATGGAATGGAACCTAATGAGTGAGGCGTAGCAACGTGTTTTGAAAAAAATCAGCTGGGATACATAGGTGAAGGGTTACTGTCGAGGAGTGGCCACTAAGTATCCATAGCGTTCCTCGGTCCTTCACACTCTCCTTGATACCTCTTTCCCAAGGTCAAAATTGGGGAAAAGGTGAGAGATAAAGAGGTCACATGAGTGACTATGGCCCAGCCTGGTCAAGCTGCCATTTTACACTCCACCCACTCCCCAACTCAGTCAGCCCTAACTCTACTACACGAATCCAGATTTTCTCCTCTATGTGCCCCACCCTCTGACAGGGAAGTAGGAAAACAGAGATTTGTAGAAGTTGGTAACAGCTAATGTCAGAAGGCAAACTTCCATTTCTAGATCCAAGAAAAACTTCCTGTTTTGTTAAGACACTTCTTAGGAGCGGAAACTGGCTCACTCAAATGAAAACCACAATGAATAATTTTACTGATTTGTACCATATGTTTAGCAAGCCTGAAATCCCAAGAGGAGGTTGGTGAATAAAGAGAAATCATCAGAAAGGGACTGTCAGATACCAACCCCCAACCAGCCAGGGCTTTTCCCCACATCACCACTCCCTGAAAGAACAGCAACAACTGAGGGAGTGGAAACACATTTGGGACACATGATGCAAAGGTGACCTGGTGGCTCACGTAAGGGCTGTGTGACTTGGTCATCATCCTTTCTCCAGATGGAGTTTCCCTTTCTACAAAAAGATCTAGAAAAGCAGCTGTACTAGCATAGACAGTGCTGCAGTAACAAATTAGCTCTGGAGTCTTGGCTTAACACAGTAAAAGTTTATTTCATGTTTTCGTTACATGACACATACAGGTTGGTGGTGGAGTGGGAAGTGGAGATGGGAATTCTGCTTAAGAACCCTGATTGATAGAGGCTCTGGCATTTGCAGCTGTATCACTGGAGCCTTGGGCCATCACCATCTTGGCCGCAGAGGGAGAGAATGCATAGAGAATTCACATGTGTCCTATACTTCAGCCTGGAAGGTACACATATCACCTCTGTCTCAGTAGTTGGACAGAACAAACTACAGATGAACTGGGATAGATGGGGAAGCCTATGGATGTTTGATCAGCAATAAATGCCTCTGCCACACAGCCTTTTAATGCTATGTGCATGTTACTACGTGTTATGGCAGCCCAGAATTCCAGACAGATCTTTTGAATCCTCATCTGCTGGGATGTCGCATCTAAGATTCTTATTTATTTCCTGAGCACCTAATAGGCAGTTCTCAGGTCAAAAATAGCACACCAGTGGGTTCTGCATAATGAGTTTACCTCTAGAGTTTTCCCTCTCCCCTCCCCTCCCCTCCCCTCCCTTCCCCTCCTCTCCTCTCCTTTTTCTTTCGATGGGGTCTTGTTCTGTTGTCCAGGCTGGAGTGCAGTGGCACAAACACAGCTCACTGCAGCCTCAATTCCTGGGCTCAGGCAATACTCCTGCCTCAGCCTCCCATGTAGCTCAGATCACAGGTGTGTGCCACCATGCTAATTTTTTTTAAATTTTTTGTTTTTTGTATAGACAGGGGCTCACTTTGTTGCTCAGGCTGGTCTCAAACTCCTGGGCCCAAGCGATCCCCCTGCCTAAGACTCCCAAACTGCTAGGATTACAGGCATGAGCCACCATGCCCAGCCTTTTCCTTTTTAATTTTAATTTTTTACCTAATTAGCTAGTCCACAGGAATTAGCAGCTCAGCATGGCCTCACAATATGTTGTTGGAGGACTGACATAGCTTGGTGTCCCTGGGAGCATGGATTAGTCAGTCATTGGAATTCAAAGCCGAGTTTTTAAAAAGTATGGAATTTTAAGCTGTTCACATTTAATTGCACAAAAATGACAACATAAAACTGAAGGGTTGTTCTCTGAAGGATTATTGACCATAATTATTCAAAATGTATTATGATTCAAGCCTCCTCTTGCAGTTGACTCATGTTTGACTCTTGTCCAGTGTTTCTATGCCCAGGGATGGTGCTCTGTATTCATCACCGTTATCAATTAAATATACATACAGTCCGTACACATAGGCAGCAGTTCTCTTGAATGAAGTTGTATGCCCTTGCCGAGTAGAGTGGGAGGAGTCTCTTTTTTCTTTTTCTTGCCTTTTTTTTTTTTTTTTTTTGGAGACAGGGTCTCACTTTTTCACTCAGGCTGGAGTGCAGTGGTGTGAACATGGCTTACTGCAGGCTCAACCTCCTGGTCTCAAACAATTCTCCTGTCTCAGAACCCCTCAAGTAGCTGGGACTACAGGCATGCGCCAGCATGCCCAGCTGATATTTGCATTTTTTGTAGTAATAGGGTTTCACCATGTTGCCTAGGCTGGTGTCTACCTCCTGAGCTCAAGTGATCTGCCTGCATTGGCCTCCCAAAGTGCTGGGATTACAGGCATGAGCCACTGTGCACTGGTGGGGGCAGTCACTTTCTAAGCAATAGCTTATTCAGGTCTGAGTTTCTCTGCCTTCCCCTCTTGCTCCTTGCTTTGGGGACATTTTGTCATTCACCAAAAAGGCAGGAGAGAGCAAAGCAAATACAGGTCAATTCAAAGCAGAGTTACTTCACAGGGTGGTTCTCAGTTATTCTGTTTAACTTGGCCTGCTGTGGAGCTGTTTGGGGACACATAGAGTTCTGCAGCCAGGAGGCCCTTTCCAGAACCTGATTTCCCCTTGGAATGACACATTATCCTCCCTTCAAATGTAGCAATTGTAAATTCCTGCCCAGGGAGCAGCAATTGCTTTGAATTACACACTGTTTGAATAGACCAGTATGGGATTAACAAGGCCTTATTGTTCTGCAGTCCTTTATTGAAACTTGCTATAGTAATTTCTGGTGAAATTATATTCGCCTGCCTATCATTTGACTATGCAAAGGAACACTTTTTCCACACTCTAATTGGTCCTTTCTAGTTGTATGTAATAAAAATCTCTTTTTACTGTATTATCAACCCTGAGCAGGAAGAAATAATACTATCAGGTTTTTTCAGTTCACCCTTTTCTCTCCCTTTCCCTCCCTTTGACATCTCTACTATGATTCCATGACTTGGAAGTTTTTTAGATTTGTGGTGCCCAGAATATTACTTTATGACTGCTATATACATATAGAAATGCACACACTGTACCCACACAATCTAGGATTATCTCCTTGATAATATGCTATTTTTAAAATAAACTTCAGGAGCACAGAATTAAATCAGTAATAATCCCTGTTTCAGGACACATTCTCATCATTGGTCTGGAAGTACTGTTTTAAACATGTTTTTAAACAGTCTAGGCAAACAATTTACATCTACTCTTCAATTAGAAAAAAACAAATTTCTAGCCCAGGCATGGTGGCTTGCGCCTGTAGTGCTAGTACTTTGGGAGGCCAGAGTGGGTGGATCGCTTCAAGCTCAGGAGTTCAAGACCAGCCTGGACAACATGGCAAAACCCCATTTCTACTAAAAATAGAAAAATTAGCTGGGCATGGTGGTACACACCCATAATCCCAGCTACTCAGCAGGCTGAAGCAGCAGAATGGCTTGAACCTGGGAGGCAGAGGTTGTGAGACAAGATCGCACCACTGCACTCCAGCCTGGCGACAGAGTGAGATTTCATCTCAAAAAAAAAAAAAAAAAAAATTCTTACTTTTCAATCATCTGCAAATAGAATTTGGTAACCAAGAATGAATCTACCAATATTTCCTTCCTAACTAAGCTGTTTCTGAAAATAATCAAAAGGGAATCTGTTTATAATGAAAAGTCTAAAGGCAGACTAATAAAAATGCTGAGATCAAGATGTTTAGGTCAGGCACAGTGGCTCAGGCCTGTAATCCCAGCACTTTGGGAGGCCTAAGCAGGAGGATCACTTGAGCCCAGAAGTTCAAGACCAGCCTGAGCAACATAGTGAGACCTGGGTCTCTATAAAAAATACAAAAATTAGCAGGGCATGGTGGCATACCCGCAGTCCTAGCTACCTGGAACGTTGAGGTGGGAGGATCGCTTGAGCTCAGGAGGTCAAGGCTGCAGTGAACAGTGATGGCGGCACTTGTACTCCAGCCTGTGTGACAAAATGAAACCCTATCTCAAAAAAAAAAGTTTACCAGACTTTAAGTAGTTTATTTTGGTGGACATTATTTGTCCATAAAATAGACCTTTATAAAACCTCAGATTTGAAACCAATAAATTAGAGCTGTAATGTAGTCTTTTCTAGGTGGTTTTAGGTCAGTTAAATATAATAGAAATCATGAAGGCAGAAAGCCAATTTGAAGCCAAAATAACTATTGAGAACATTCTGTATTTCATTAATAGGTAATGAAATTAAATCTATTAACTGCTAAAATACATATTCTACTTATTTACATAAAACTTTAGGTCTATATAACTATCATGCTTCCAAAAATAACAGCCTGGCCAGGCACAGTGGCTTACGCCTGTAATCCCAACACTTTGGGAGGCCAAGGAGGGCGGATCACCTGAGGTCAGGAGTTCGAGACCAGCCTGACCAACATAGTGAAACCCTGTCTCTACTAAAAATACAAAAATTAGCCAGATGTGGTGGTATGTGCCTGTAGTCTTAGCTACTTGGGAGGCTGAGGCAGGAGAATCGCTTGAACCTGGGAGGTGGAGGTTGCAGTGAACCGAGGTCATGCCACTGCACTCCAGCCTGGGCAACAGAATGACTCCACCTCAAAAACAAATAGCCCAACAGCACAATACTTTTAAAACATGTTTTGATGAAATCCACAAAGGAATAATCTTTATCCCCTTGTCCCTAAACCATCTTCTCAAATTTTGTGCCTGAATTGAAATTTTTGTGCCAGGAGAGAGTTAGAAGATAATACAGATGGCCAGGCACGGTGGTTCATGCCTGTAATCTCAGCACTTTGAGAGGCCAAGGCGGGTGGATCACAAGGTCAGGAGTTCAAGACCAGCCTGACCAACATGGTAAAACCCTGTCTCTACTAAAAATACAAAAATTAGCCGGGGGTAGTAGCGCTTGCTTGTAATCCAGCTACTCAGGAGACTGAGGCAGGAGAATCATTTGAATCCATGAGGCAGAGGTTGCAGTGAGCCGAGATCGTGCCATTGCATTCCAGCCTGAGCGACAGAGCGAGACTCCGTCTCAAAAAAAAAAGGAAAAGAAAAGAAAAAAAAGAAAATAATACAGATATAATAAAGCCGATATAGTTTATACTGCAATATATAGTAAATATAGTTTATACTGTAAGAAGCATGACAGGTTTTTTTTTTTTTTTAATTATTGGATGATGACCATGAACTAAAAAAAAACCAAAAACTCAAAAACCCAAAGCCTAGAACCTGCACTGAAAGGTTTTAATCTATAAAGATGAAAGTCAGCTTCCCCCATTTCCATTTTCCAAACCAGAAACTTTTTTTTTTTTTTTTTTTTTTTTTTTTTTTGGAGACAGGGTCTCTCTGTGACCAGGCTGGAGTACAGTGGTACAATCACTGCAACCTCAAACTCCTGAGCTGAAGTGATCCTCCCACCTCAGCCTCTTGAGTAGCTGGGACTACAGGCACGCAAAACCATTCCCGGCTCCAGAGATTTCTTTGAAACTTTCTGTTAGAAAAAAATGAAAAGAAATGGCCATTGCTTGCCGTGCATGGTGGCTCATGCCTGTAATCCCAGCACTTTGGGAGGCTAAGGTGGGCAGATTACTGGAAGTCTGGAGTTTGAGACCAGCCTGGCCAAAATGGTGAAACCGCATCTCTACTACAAATAAAAAATAGCCGGGCGCGGTGGCTCAAGCCTGTAATCCCAGCACTTTGGGAGGCCGAGGCGGGCGGATCACGAGGTCAGGAGATCGAGACCATCCTGGCTGACACAGTGAAACCCCGTCTCTACTAAAAAATACGAAAAACTAGCCAGGCGAGGTGGCGGGCGCCTGTAGTCCCAGCTACTCGGGAGGCTGAGGCAGGAGAATGGCGTAAACCCAGGAGGCGGAGCTTGCAGTGAGCTGAGATCCGGCCACTGCACTCCAGCCTGGGCGACAGAGCGAGACTCCGTCTAAAAATAAATAAATAAATAAATAAAAATAAAAATAAAAAATAATTAGCTGGGAATGGTGGCGCGTGCCTGCAGTCCCAGCTACTCGGGAGGCTGAGACAGGAGAATCACTTGAACCCAGGAGGTGGAGGTTGCACTGAGCCGAGATCGCCACTGCACTCCAGCCTGGTGACATAGCGAGATTCCCATCTCAAAAACAAACAAACAAAAAAAGATCTTGTTAGTAAGGAGATAGAGTTAATTCCTCTGGGAACTTGTTTCAGACTTGGGTAGATGAAATCCTATAGCACAAAACTGAAGTGGAGGAGTGCTTTATGTAGGCAGTTGGCTCGCAGGCAACATAAACAGAAAAGCTCAATAAATTCAAAGTTGAAGCCAAAATCATGTAGTGATTTATAAGGGAGCAGTAGGTATTATGAGCTATGCCCTAAAGAGATGTTAAAGTAAATCAAAATCTTATGAACAGGTAAAAAAATTCCTATGAAATTTAGAAAAACTGCTATCCATCTCAGATAGTGATTTTTTTTCCTTAAACGATTAGTGAATGACTACAAACAAATGCATAAAAAAAGAAAAAAATGACAGGAAATTTGAAATACAAACTTCCAGGCTTCTGGTAACACAATTTATACCAGGGGTCAAATATTCAGGATTGCTTCTAAATTAAAAGAAAGAAACAAACAAAAAAATCCCATTTGAGCCTGAAACATTTCATATTTGGTAAACTATTTGGGGAAACTCCACGAAATGTGCAAGCCAAGTCATTTTATTTACTCTTACACTCCAACCTTTCCATTTCATTTTGCTTCAGCAGTTGTTATAAAACTGAGTAAACAGTCAGGCCAGGCACGGTGGCTCACACCTGTAATCGCAGCATTCTGGGAGGCCGAGGCGGGTGGATCATGAGGTCAGGAGATCGAGACCATCCTGGCCAACATGGTGAAACCCCATCTCTACTAAAAATACAAAAAATTAGCTGGGCACCTGCAATCTCAGCTACTCAGGAGGCTGAGGCAGAAGAATTGCTTGAACCCGGGAGGCAGAGGTTGCGATGAGCCAAGATCTCGCCATATTGCACTCCAGCCTGGGCAACTGGAGCGAAACTCCATCTCCAAAAAAAACAAAAACCAAAAAACTGAGCAGACAGCTGAGGCAAACCCGGGAGCTCTCTTCTAATAACAAATTACAGGTTTGTCCTAGGCAGATAAGAAAAGTCCTTTTCTTCCAAGTACAGGCTCTTGCCACTGTTAAGGAGTGGTCACCATACTGCTTACTCCTTACTCCTGCACTGACCATTCTCACTTCCCTGGGCACCAGAGTATCACATTGCTAGGAGCTTTGGTCTGGCACAGGGCAGTTTGCACTCTTGGATGGGTGGGTGCAAGAGAGGAATAACCCGGCTGGAGTCACTGGTGACCATGACTGCTCTAGAAAGAACTTTGGAAGGCTCAGCCCCACCAGCCCTGCCAGCCCTAGCAGGCTGGTAATTATCTCCCGGGCTACAACAGAGCTCTGAGAGTTCGAAGTCTACTTCATCACAGCCTTTTCTCCCCTTCCTTCCTCTATTTGACAGTCCACTTTGCAGTGACTTAGTTCATCAGGATGCCCTTGTGCCTCAGTTTCCCTTATTAGGACTGGACCCAGCCCATCAGCTGAGATTCAATCACCCTGTCTTCCTCTTTGCCAATATACTTTCCTCTCCAGCCTTCCTCAGTCCCTACTGGCTGGGGCTCTGCTTGGATTAAGTCAATTGCTCAAGAGCCATGACTCCTTCCTGACTTTGGTCTACTATCCTGACTCTCTCACAGTCATTCCAGCTGCTTACTTTGCCCCCTGAAGATACTGATAATCAACTGAACCAGATCCTAGCTTGCCTTATCTACTCAGCCCACCTGGTTACCTTTCCCAGAGCCAGTCTAGCCAGCCAGGTTAGTTCCCCGCTTGCTCTCACCCACCCACACAATCCTGGATCCTCCTCCTTCCCATTAGCTGGTGCTGCTCGAATATTCACGTTGATAGCAGTAATTAATGGCAGTTAAGAACTCAGTCTGTCTCAGGAACTGTCTTAAGTATATCACTACTTAAATTCATTTAATTATGACCACAACACTTGTAGAAACTGAGGCTGGGAGAGGTTGACTTGCTCAAGATCACGCAAAGAGTAAATAGCACAGCTTTAAGCTGAACCTAGACTAGATCTTGCTGATGCCAGGTAAATATTCTTAACCACTGGCCAAGGGTTCGCAAGGTTCCTTTGCCCCTTCATCTGTCCCACACATGGTATGTTTGTCAAAGGGACTGTGCAGATTTCAGCTATGTTGCCTCCCTACAGGCCTTGGGTCTGGGCCCAGCCTTTGGACACCATTCATTAGAAAACTGGTCTTCTCTGGCAGGGGCATGGTGGTTCATGCCTGTAATCCCAGCACTTTCAGGGGATGGCCGTGGTGGGCAGATCACCAGAGATCGGAAGTTCGAGACCAGCCTGGCCAAAGTGGTGAAACCCCATCTCTACTAAAAATAAAAAATAATTAGCTGGGCATGGTGGCAGGAGCCTGTACTCCCAGTTACTTGGGAGGGTGAGGCAGAAGAATTGCTTGAACCCAGAAGGCAGAGGTTGCAGTGAGCTGAGATTGCACCATTATACTCCAGCCTGGGCGACAAGAGTGAGACTCCGTCTCAAGAAAAAAGAAAAAAAAGAAAACTGGTAGTCTCTGCCTCTCCTATTTATGCTTCTACTACTTCATCTGGCTTCACTGTCAGTAGAAATGGCTGACAATATCAAAGTTTATACCTCAGTGCAGACCTCTGTCAGCTCACTGAGATGTCTACAGGTTACCTCGAGATCTAGGGAGCCCCACGTCACAGGGTTCTGGCTCAAGCCTTTTATTTTACTATTGAGACCTAAAGCTCAGAGAAATGAAGTGACTTGTCCTGTGTCACACAGCTAGTTAATGGCAGAGCCAAGATTGAGGTTTCATGGCTTCCAAGCCACCTTGAGTAGATTGGAACCATGGAAGCCCACATTTCACAGCAGGCCTTTTGAAGACAAGCTAGGTATTTTAACCTTTGACTTTTGCCTCTGTGTTTTAATCTGTGACATGGAGCAGCAAAGGAGGCCTAACTAAAAGGATGACACATGTTACTGATAAGGGGCAAATTGTTGGAGGAATTGCTACTACCACCCATCTTTGGTAAGGACCAGGACTTTCTGACTTCATTTACCAGTCTAGAAGCCAGGAATATGTTCACAGATATATTCACATAATTGTGATCTAATTGACACCACAAGACAAAAGCAAATTCATGACAAGAATAGCAACTTTAGTTTAGTTTTTTTGCTGTTTTTTTTTTTTTTCTTTTTTTTTGAAAAAAGTCTCGCTCTGACACCCAGGCTGGAGTGCAGCGGCGCGACCTCGGCTCACTGCAACCTCCGCCTCCTGGATTCAAGCAATTCTCCTGTCTCAGCCCCCTAACTAGCTGGCATTACAGGCGCACAACACCATGCCTGGCTAATTTTTTTGTGTGTTTTTAGTAGAGATGTTGGCCAGGCTGGTCTTGAACTCCTAACTTAAGGTGATCTCAGCTCACTGCAACCTCCGCCTCCCGGGTTCAAGCAATTCTCCTGCCTCAGCCTCCTGAGTAGCTGGGACTACAGGTGTGCACCATTGTACCCAGCTAATTTTTGCTTTTTTTTGTTTTTTCAGAGATGGGGTTTCACCATGTTGGCCAGGCTGGTCTCGAACTCCTGACCTCATGATCCGCCCTCCTTGGCCTCCCAAAGTGCTGGGATTACAGGCATGAGCCACCATGCCCGGCCTGGAAGAATGTGCTTTATTTCCATTTTACAGGTAAGGAAATTGAGCCCTAGAGAGGTTAAGTAATTTGCCCAAGATCACACAGCTAGGAAGAGGCAGAACCAGGATCTGGAGGAAGCTGTTTACCTCTAGGGTCTACAGCTCCTAACTACTGCATGAGTCTGACTTAATGGCAAATGGGGAATGGAAGTTTTTGAAGATGCCCAGAAAGACACAGGGTCTGAAACTTTGTCTAGGAAGAAGAGTGAGGATCAGTTATCACTGGCATCCATGTTCCTAGGTTCACAGCTTATCTACCCACTGACAGGAGGTCATGTATGAACTCAGTGGCCTACAGTAAGCTTTTCAGGGCTTGTCACTTTGCTCTAGGAAACTGTTATCCAGCCCCACGTGGTTCCTGGATCATTCCGAAGTGCTTTAGAGTCACTTTAATCCTTGAGTTTAAAGTTTAAAGCAGATAAGGTATACAGAAACATAGAAAAGGAAACAAAGAAAACTAACAGAATAAAGTTTGGTAATTTTCAAATCTTGTTACACAATTCCTTGCTTGGGAAGAAATGCTCAAAAATCAACAAAAAGAGGACAAAAACAGGAAGTTAAAAGGCATTTTTATGTTTTAAGAAATTTACTGCCAGACTAAGAGTATTTCTGCCAAAAATAACATGCTTCTTTCCTACAACCTATCAATCTGGGGTTTGCTGAGAATTTGGTCAGATTTTGAGGGGTGAGACCATAATTTCCCACCATGTTCATTTTCAAAAAGAATGTCCCAGACATGAAAACACACACACACACACACACACACACACTCTCTCACACACTAATGCTCCAGTGGAAGCAGTGGTCCTGCAGTTCCTACTGTGAATGAAGTATCCCACAAAGATTTGGCCCAGAGATTAGCATCTGAAATGGAGTCCCTTTCAGTGCACTCATTGCAAATCTCTATCTGAAGGTCTGTAAGGAACGTGGCTGTGCTGCAGCCGAGCAGGCATAAAGCAGCAGGAATAGGTCGAGGTAAACAGCCTAAAT